GTGGCTCACGCAAGTATTTGATGGCGGTGTGTTCTGACGGTTTTTCCGTTCTTTTATTGGCGTATGTATTCAGTGATTACTCCGGTACGGTAAAGTGTAAAATTTCAAAAAAACTTGTACCTAATAAACAACAGTAGTATACCTGAATGGTTCGTCGTTACCATCAAACAACTCTTTTTCATCGAGCTCGTCTTCGAACCACATAGGATCGTCCGGTACAAAATCTGCAATAGACAAGAAAAATTATTGGGGTGCAGGTCCCTGTATAAGAACGGGTCATAAGTGAAGGCTGGGGTTCCCGAAGAGTATTTGTTGGCAAACCATTTTTTGATAACATTTAATTGGACGAAAATGTTGTATATGAAATATAACCATCCTCTAGGGCAACCTCGTACCCAGGGTTTTATCCTTAAGGGTGCCTCTATAGGATTGGTAAAACAGGACGATCAAGCAAGACAATAAAATACCACTTCTTTAATGTCATATTGGACAAACGCTTTTTTTTATATTTTTACGTACACTCTAGTGGAATATGGAGTATATGTATAGGGTAAATGTCAAATAGAATAGTCGCAAAAGTGTAAACCTGATGCTTTTAAGATATTGTACTTATCGGGCAAGAAAACGTTCGGCCCACCACCCGACCAGATCCCGAAATATTAAATTTAATCGTGCATTCAACATATTACTCTACTTGCCTGTGTCCAGAAATTGTTCGTTATCCTAAAAGATAGGAAAACGGAAATTGTCAAAATTCGAATTATAGAAACAGAGTGTAAAAACAAATTGTATTTACGAACTTCTTCCACTCAGAAAAATTTTCCACGGAAAGAAAATTTTGTGAACGTGGAAATGTTTCTTGAGTGGAAATGGACCTTTAGACTTACCTTTTCACTTTCGTTTACTGGCACTTCTTGAAGCCCTTGGCAGTTTTCATCATCTTAAAAATATTTTCTAAATTTTAGAGACCTACACATTTGGCAACGTCGCAAGCCACGGTCTTTACCCCAGATTGTAAATGCACTTTCTCAAACTGTCTATGCCAGTGCGTAGGTGGTGACGATAATAAGAAAGCTTCGGATTGATAGGGATACAACCAAGGCCGGATTTTGGTGGAAATAGTGGGGGAGGTGGAAATACATTTATGGGAGGTGCAGCGGTCTAGCTCATGACCTCCATGGAAAGTTAGGGGTGATGTATGCATGTAGTGTACATAATTTATGTATCAGTGTATTAATGAATTGCAGTATGACTGTACAACTCATCCAATTTTGCCCGTCATTACAATTATTACAAACTTTCTTTCAAAACATTGCATTAAAAGGGTACTTGTCACAGAGATGAATAGGTATCACTGTTTCAATTTTACAGAAAAACTTTCTTACGAAGTGTAGACCCTAAGTAACCAAAAAATGTCAAATTTTCACTTTGATCTATCATTGAAACTTCCCCAAGGGGAGGTGCATGACTTTTCAGGGGAGGTGCAAAATGATCTCTGGGGAGGTGTGCACCTCCCCTCAAAATCCGGCCATGGATACAACTACTTGACAAATACAAGCAGAACTTCAACTGTATTTTTCAGGCAGTTGTATCCCTATCAATTCGTAGCTTCCAAATATACTTTCCACCTGGGTTTTTTTTGGGGGAGGGGGGCACATGTTTTAGAACCAAATAACTTAAAAAGCGGTCTATCCTCGCCGATGATAGCATGCACAGTTGGCGGATTTATGGGAGGTTGGGTAACTTCTTTAAGGGGTTGGGCATAATCTCCCACCACTACTACGGGACAAACTTACTTCCGAAATATATTCTCCTTTTCTTTACATGTCTTCTTTCCATTCTCCTCCGTGAACGACGCAGTAGTTTCTTGTAGTTAGGTGGTGGTGGTGTCAGCAGCTCGACATTACCAGCACTGATGCTACACTTCATGTAATCATTACCAACATCTTGTAACGAGGTATCTGGTTCTGGTGTTTTGTAGATGATGGTGGGTGTCAGGCCCCAGTTTAATGTACCATACTGTGGGTAGTCCGCGTATGTTAGAGATGGTGATTTGTACTAAAATATAACAATTGAACTAAGAATTGGGAAGTTACAGGTCAACTCCAAAAACCATGTGGAGCCAGTGGAGCTAGCCATCTGAACCTAGATTGAATTCCTGGCTAACAACTTGGATTTAGTTCTACCATAGCTTATCGAAGGGAAAATGGCTATGAAACTCATTAGAATAACAATATAACTCATTATCTATGTTAGTCAACGTTTATTCATAAATCTGGTCCTTCACCGTCACGTGCGTATTGTATTTTTGCCCAACTAACCAATAGCAATGTTTTTGGAAAGTTACCTATCTGTGACTCGAACAATAGGGTAAATTTCTATTGGTGGATTTGGCAAAAATACAATACACACGGGACGGTGAAGGACCATATTTATGAATAAACATCGACCAGTGGAACCCCGTTAATACGGTCACCAACAGGCAGAAATAATATGGCCGTATTAATGGGGTGGCCGTATTAACGGGGTGAGATCAAATTTCAATTGTGACGTCATTAAAGCTATGTTTATTCGAAAATCACAATAACACCATACCCCACCATAATACCAACTAATAACTAAACATTATAAAGTTCAGATAAAGTTTTCACTAATTTTAAAGAAACAATGTTAGGGAATACAACGTCGCTAAAGAACCTTGTATTCTTTCTTTTCCTTTGCGCGACTGATAATAAAAATAAAAAAATAGTAATATGATGCAACTTGAATTGTGTGTTTCACTGCACAAGGTGTCTTAAATTATACTGCATTTCCGTCCGTAAACACATTTATATTTTTGAGTGACCGTATTAACGGGGTGATTTCTTTAGTTCGGCCCGCTTCGGGACTGTACAATATGGCCGTTGGCCGTATTAACGGGGTGGCCGTATTAACTGGGTAATTTTATTATAAAATGTATTAGTGTTTCGCCGGGACAAAAAAAAGTGACCGTATTATCGAGGTGACCGTATTAACGGGGTGGCCGTAAGGCGGGGTTCCACTGTATATTGTTATTCAAATGAGTTTCATAGCCATTTTCCCTTCGATAGGCTATGGTTCTACTTACTATATTTTCATTCCGTGCAGAAAAACATTCCCACGAGTACTCTTGACTTCCATCTGTACTTGTGTCACTACAGGTACTATAATACCTTCCCCCGTCACCTGGCAACAATGGTGATGACGAAGGCACCACGCCATCGTCATCTGCTGACGTTAACATATTTGGCGGAGTGCTGCAACACAAATCTTCATCTTCGAGACATTTCGTGAAATCTCCGTAAGCCATCGGAAACAGCTCGCTTTCTTTAATATACCTCAAGTCATGTGGTAATCCCATGCTCTTTTCGTTGTATTCAATATGGTGGCACAACGGATCCCATGATCCTGCATCTAAGTAACAACCTTTTAAAGGACTCTGTTTGGTATTGGTAGTTGAATGGTCATGAAGTGGCAGTGTTTTTTGGGGGGTTGATGGTGAACCTGTCTGTCCATTTTCGGATTGGTGGTGATCGTTGATGCTAGTTAAGTCTGTTTTAAAGAAACAGTTCTCAACAGTGCTATGTTTTGACTGTTGAATGGTATTTAGTTGGGTTGGAACGTGATCTGTCTGCCTTGTTTTACAGTAGTTGTGAATGGTAGATTTTTCTTCCAAAGGATTTTCGTTGGATACACCGTCGGACTGGTGTATGGTACCTAGTTGGGTTTGAATATCAGATGGTTGATTTTCTATCTGACTTGTTTTACTTTGGTGATGGATGTTAGATTGTGTATTTTGATCTTCTAAAGTACCATTATCAGATTCAGCATTGATAGCCAACAGGTTACAAGCCACGGGTGAAGTATGTGTATGTTCACCTTTTGTTGTATGACAGACAGTGTGGATGGTAGAGGGTTTGCTGTGACCTATCTGGCTCACTGTACATTCATGGTGGATATCAGACGGTATATTTTGTTCTTCTATAGGATCATTGGTAGCGGATAGGTCACCAGCATGGATGGTAGATGCATCATTGGTAGCGGACATATTACCAGCTAATGGTGATGTATCTGCCTGATTATCTTTTGTTGTATGGTATACAATTTTTGGTTGATTGCTTCTTGTTTCTTGGAAACAGTCGATGGCGAAAACGCTCTCCAGCTCTTCATTGGTGTTTGATTGCTTAAGTGGTAACGTGTTACTGGTTTTTGTTGCATGGTAGACAGTATCTTGTTGGTTGGTTTTTGTTTCTTGAGAACAGCCAATCGTAGAAACAGTTTCTACCACCGTATCTGCGTTTGATTGGCTAATAATACGTGGCGACGTGTTACTGAACAATGCATTACCATTCAGTTGACTGGTTTGACTTTCTGGGGTCGGGTTGCTAACAGTACTCGATTGTTTTGTCTTCACTCCAAAACAACAGATAAAAACAGGATTTTCTTTGGAACTGGTAAGCTGTATGATTGACATTTGATTACCCGATGTTGATGGCCCATCACTCAATCTTATAGTTTCTTTGGAATTTTCGATGGTAATTGGGTTATTTGATTTGGTTAGTAAGTAACAAGTTCTGGTGTTACAAAGTTTTGTTTCAGGAGTAGTGGTCAAAGGCATTAGCGTGAGAAGGTTTTGTTGTCTGTTATTTGTAGTAACAACGTCCGGTTTAGGTTGACATTCTTCATGTTCGTTCTTTTGTAACCTAAAAGGGTTGTGTAAACTGATGTAGTTTTGGTCAATTGCATAGGCCTACGATAACCTTGGGGGGGGGGCGGGAGTCAATGGAGAAGGGGGCAGCTGTCTTTTAGCCCACCCAAAATATTTAGAAGTTGGTCGGGCAATATGCAGCCATAGGAGGCCCAATAGCACAGAATACTATACAGAAGTCCATCTCCATTGTTTTTTGCGTAAGCGCTATTCGTCATGATTCGTCACTCAGCAAGTACCGTAAACAGAAGCAGTCACCCCCTGGACGTGTGTCATTTTGAATATTTCCAGGGGGGACTGCTTCTGTTTACGGTACTTGCTGAGTGACGAATCATGACGAATCGAATAGCGCTTATGCAAAAAACAATGGAAACGGACTTCTGTATACGATTCTGTGCCAATAGTTAGTGGTAATAGTAGCAGTGTAATATGTAGTTGTAATATCCCTACGCAAGTCCAATTGACCATAGGCGCACGGGAGGGGAAAAAAGTTATCGTGAAAATATTCTACCAATTGTTTTTTTGGTGGACTACGCCACTGCGAATCAGAGATTGAGCATCGCATGCGTTGGTTTTGCTGGTGCACTGTTTTTGTTGGACACTTAGACTTACGTAGAGATATTACAACTACATATTGGTTTATACTGCATTACTGCTTATTTTTCAAATTTTCGGATAAAATCACAAGATCGATTTTCCCAAATTGAAAACCTGTGTTTGAAAATATTTGTGACTATAAAGGACGATATAAAGCCTTAATATTAATAAATTGTATGACGTTTGCCATGGTCAGGGAAACCTTTAGCTTGCGCTGCCTGAATTCTGTGATCCGAGTAGGAATTTTGCATAGGTAAATTCTAAGTTTTAAAGTGCAAAAACTATTTGAGGGTGCTTATTCAGTGTTAAACACCGAGTAGGCCTATTTATAAGCTCCGTCCGAAACATTTCTTACAAATCCTTCAAAACTTAGATTTTTAATACCAAATACCAATGCAAAATTCCTACTGTGATCACTCAAGGGAAGTATAGCTACAACAGTACGTGTATGAATGATATCAGATTAATACCAAAATACAAAAAAACATGACCATTGAATAACGAACAGACAAAGTATGTTTAAGGCCCAAACCTTTTCAGCTGACCATTTTCAGTTTGGTTTTTTTCCATCCGTTTGTCTGCGGCCATCGAAAACGACGCCATAATTTAATCGATTTTCTAAGATTCTTCAATCTTTTTTAAAAAAAAACAAGAAGAGTTAAATCACCGAGAGTTTCACACTAGCTAGATTACAAAAAAGTAAATTGATATGCCTGTTTCAAAACCGAAAAGGACGAAAATTCATTCTTAAAATTGTAGCATTTTTGAACTTGAACTTTTTAAGTCATGAAATATTTAAAACTGTTCAGTAAAATTTGAAATGCTTTTACAGTTCAAAATGAATGCTTTACGATTTTAAATTATTGAAATGTTATATAGTATACCGATATGCATCGTATTATCTGGAAAAGTTTGGAATACAAACTTTTTATTGTTTTTTTGACATGGTCTGCTGGCGTTTACGGGCTTCTTTTTAGAAGTTCATTTCAACCCATCCAAAAATATAAACGAATTTGCCCAAACGCTAAAATGTCCGTAGCTTTTCATGACAAATAATCAAATATAATTTCTGTTTGTTTAATATACTCACCAAAATGGTAACAGTAAAAACGCCAAACCGTTTGTTCATGATGAAATGCACTCTGTCCTTGACCTTGGACGACAATACTGTAATCTTTTTTTGCCTTTTAACAACGCCACCCTGTCTGCCACACGGTCTTTAAATGTTACTATTTTATCGAAACTTTTATAAATAAACTTTTTAAAATGTTTGCCCCACCTTGAAATAATCTAGCCAGGAGAATAAAGTCAATAAAAATGGTATATTTGCCATAAATACGACTTGTGGTGCGACGTTTATAAAAGCATTTCATATATATACAGAAAAGGAAAAGATTGGATTTTAAATATGGCGCCGTGACGTCAGTGGCGCGAAATATCCAGTGGAAATATCTAAAATCCCGCGTCGCGCGTGGGAAACAGAATCCAACTTGGATCAGCAGGATCACAAAAAGTTTAGCCTGTGGTCAACAATTAATATAAAAATGGTCAATGGAATATATTTTTTTATTAGATCATTTTGCAATTGTTCATAATAGATATCTGAATAATACATTCAATGGTCCTTTTATTATAAGCACCTTCACCCCCCCCCCCACCCCCACCCATCATTTGATATTTTAGCATAATTTGACTCAGGTGGGGGTCAACCATTGAACTGATGTCAACTAAAACTGTTTACAAAAAAAACAAAATGGCTGTCAACACATCTTATGTAAATCAGTTCTCCGACTATTATAAAAGCCACTATAAAACAATATAAAAGCCGTCCTTTACCCTTGACACAAGACCCTTGACCCCCACGTGATGTCATATGAAACCTGAGCATTGACGTAGTATTGTAGAAACTGTACAAAAATTAAATAAAATAGGACTTTTATAAATAACAATTATAGTGCACCATAAACGTTTCTGTGTTTAGAACTTTTACTGTCCATAAAATTGAGATGTTAGATTCCAAGACCATATCATTCAACAGTTGACAGCAACCATCCATCTGGGCAAACTTGACCAAACATACAACTTTCCAAACTATTAACATATTATCCCACACCATATTGTAAACCCCTCTGTCATCTACAACTGCATTATATTCAATTTGTTATTTTTAACTACATTAATGAATTATCCTAAAACGACTTCACTCTTACGAGTCAAGGACTTATCTGTTAAAAACGAATGAGAGTTATATGTTTGATGTTCAGCCTTATCCAGTTCTTCTTGTGCTATCCTGATGTCACTTTGGATTGCTTCGATTAGGGATTCTAATAAAAAAGAGATGAAAAACTGTGGATTACTGCCCAATTAACACTCTCCGCTTAAAGGGCTAAAATCATCTAGCGTTAGGCAGCGTAAAATGAAAACAAAACTCAATTTTTAAAGATGAGTTCAAGCCCATTCTGCACATGTGCTATGTAAGGACCCTGGTGTAAATAATACCCAAATTTGCATTGTTTTGACATCTTCTGAGTTAATTTAACATGCAAACCAGAATGATGTTACATCATTACAGTGCATTATAATTTATGAATATCATGTAAACAAAGTGCACATTCTCTGAACAGGCTTGAATCATCTTTGATGTAGTTCAATTTTATGTGTTATAATTACCAACCCATTGAGGGGAAGGTGCTTTCTTGTCGTATATAACCAGTTATGCACACGCGAAGTTCTGTTCCATAAAAGTCTTCTGGGAATGAATGAATAATGTGTGTCTCCTACAAAGAAAACAACTAAACCAATTTAACTTGGGGTTCGGCACTGGCTAACATTTGAATATAAAAAAACTCAGAACTACATCTCCATTACAATCACTTCATATATCCAGCCTACCATTGATTTCTTGGTGTTCTTAAAAAATGGATTCCACCCGACACTTAAAACCATTTTATAAACTTTAGTTCCATCTACACTGGCCCATCCATAATATACACCAGTATCAAGACCTTCTGGTAACCTATTGATAACTTCTTCTGGGTAGTTTGCTAAAAAACATTATATGCCACGTAAGTAACAGTATATTTTTTATAAAAAAACATATCTAAAAATATACGTTGCAAATGAATTAAAATTATTTTACCCATTAAGTTGAATTGCACCCTAATGTCTATTAACGCCAGACTATTTCACTGTTCGGGGGGGGGGGGGGGGGGGGCGCTGGCAAGTGATATCAATTATAGTTTCCTTGATGACAGAAGGTGAATAAATTGTGCATATATGATGCAATGACTCATTTGAATTTTTTCTTGAGTTTCCCATTCCAAGTCTATACACGGCAAAATATTCATCTTATCAGCCAAAATCCAACTCTTCTGTCGTGTCAGACCAAACCTTTAATATTTTGCCCGCCTCATTGAATTAATAATTTAAATGAGGTATTAAAATCCTCACTTCATAAAATAAATCTCTATGACAGTATATATGATCTAACATATGGAAGCTCTTGAAATCAAACAACTATATGGCCTGTATATAGATTCTATTGCCATATACAAATATATAAAATGGACAGGTGTATGATTGTATCAAAATAAAATCTCATTCACCTGTTGGTATTCCCAAACTTTTACTCCCCCGACCAAATCCTTTCACGACCTCACCTCGCACAAAAAGAGGCAGAGTTCTCTGATGCATTTCGCCAGGCATTAATCGAATATTTTGTGTTTAATACCAATATTTTATTATTTAACAACTACACGCAATTTTGCGATTTAAAAAGTTCGATCTTTTACACGCGATTCAGTGATAAATCATTCATTCATATCATCCTATTTCCGGTAGACGTCATAATCGTTAACGCAAATCTGTCCTTGCACTTTATGCTAATGAGCAGGGGCCAGCAGGTCCATATTGAAATGGCAATTGCTAGATAGTATACTTCAAAATAAGGTTTCAGTTTTTATATCAATTTTTAAAATAAGTTAGGGTTAGGTTAGGGTTTAGGTTAGGTTGGGGTTAGTATTAGGGTTTAATTTTGTGTTAGGATAGTTTTTTTCTACGTTATAAAAACGGAAACCTTATTTTGAAGCATACGATCTAGCGATCACCATATTGAAATTGGGAACAGTTTTCAAGCAATTTAGCTCAAATTAATTTGAATCGTCTCAGAAACGTTACCAAGACCCTTACCAAGGTTTCGATACACCTTTATGAAAAAAAGGTAAAAAAGAAAGCCTTCCTTGACAAATTTATTGTCATGTTGTTTTACAATGTCAATGCATTTTAGGGCTTTTAGTGTTCAGCGTCATGTAATGAAAATAGGCCGATTTAGAAAACACGACGCGACGTCTAAGACGACGTGAAAATAACATTGCAATACGACTTTTTCCTGATTGAAAACAATACAGGAGAGATCAGGAGACAAGAAAACAAAAATTTGCTTCGAAGAAGACAAACATGAAGTCCAATGTCAAAATTTGTTTAACTATATTGACTACAAGTAATCAAATGCAGCGAAATTTGAACGAACATTGTCGCGCACAAAAATTAAGGCGTTCCTTTCAGTTACTCTTTTCTTTATTTCATTCAGTTACAATATTTCTTGTTTAAAACTAAGAACTTTACACTGTTCTATGCTATCGTCAATATACATGTAGTACCAACTCCTTGAGAAGGAGGCTATATAAAGAATGGGAAATGTACTACAGGCAATTAGGGCCTGCTATAAATGATATTGCGTTGGTTTGCTATCTGCGTATACAAAGAGAGAAACAACGTTACACAACGGTATATTTACATGTGATTACACCTGGATTGTAGGCGGGCTTCAAGTTTTTCGTCGACAACAACAACGTGACGATGACGGCTGTTCATACAATGATATTCATGATATTTAAGAAAAAAAATTAATATCCCACGGGAGTTTGAGACGTCATCCATGGTCTGTTTAACAACGGGAAACTACAGATTTTTACGTCCTGCATTTCAAGACGCGAGAAGTGATACTCAGCAAATTAGCTCAGTACGGCGGTGAAACTTTCTCAACAATAAAGCCACTATTTCAAGCTAACCAAACAGTATTAAATTGATACGATCAATAATAGTCTACAAACTTTCTTTCCAATCGTTTATTTGAATGACTTTATTCTGGCCGTCGACGTCGCGTTGTCGTCCTACATCGTAAGGTCTCTAATGTCAGCGCTCGATACTTTTGTAGCGAAAATGGTCTTTCCTTTTAGATTGAAAATCATGCTCCGCACTACGTTCACAAATTGTTTGAAAATAATCCGCACTACGTTCATCACAAATACACCCTTTCGATAATTACGTCACAACTACACTGTTTTCAACTTAGGACCACCTTAAATGGAAAGGATTTCAATTTTTTTTCTCATGGGCTATGCACAGAGAAGCAGAACATCCTTCTTCAACACATGCATGAAAAAGAAGTCTTTATTTGACCAATAAATGTGGAAATAAGCTTTAACACGAAATTTCGTGTTAATGCTTATTTCCATATTTATTGATCAAAATCCCCAATTTTTTTTCACGCATGTGTTGAAGGATGTTCTGCTTCACTGTGCATAGCCCATGAGAAAAAAATTGAAATCCTTTCCATTTAAGGTGGTCCTAAGTTGAAAACAGTGTAGTTGTGACGTAATTATCGAAAGAGTGTATTGCTTGAAAACGTCACTTTTGCTGTAACAATTTGAGCACGGTTTCTGAACGGAGCGAGATGAAAACGGAGCGCTTGGCGGCTTCGTGCGAACACAAACGCCGTCTTTATCTTGCTTTTATTATTTTTTTACTTTAGCATATTTTTATTATCTTTATATTAAAATATTTGGGTTTTTTGTACTATTTGAGCTCGTTTTGCGAATCCGTACCGTCATTATAGTAGTGAACGTAGTCCTCTTGAAACCCGTCTATATACCAAGAGATTTCGCAGTAGGCCATCTGTATTCATTAAAAAATAGACATTTATAAGGAGCCCTTGACCCCTTGTATCTTATAATCTTGAAGGCTCACCACCTTCTGCACTAAAATATTATATAATTTAAAATATTTAAAATTCTGATACATTCTAATGTAATATCCCCCGTACATACATGTAATATCCCCTTAAGTACATGTAATATCTCCTTCATCCACTACGGTCTCATCGACGTCGGCTTGCGTCACTGCTGCACTCTCCTGAGCCACCTGACTCAACATATCTACTGCGTCAGCGGTCATTATGCTACTTGAACCCAGCCCCTACACAACAAATCAAAACGTGTCAAATATGGTTTGTGGTTTTCAAATGAAGTTCAAAATTAATTTTTCAGCAACCAAACTGGGGAATTGATGCAAAGGTCTGGTCTCTACGTTTAACCTTAACGTATCAGTATTTTGGCTTCTGAGGTATTAGGGCCATACACAAAATACATGACGCTTTTCCCCCGATTTGTGACCCCCCCCCCCGGTGATAAAAGGGACCTATGCTGGATCAATTTTGATTGTTCTCATAGCAATGCTATTTACATTAATTGCCACATTCCTTATTTTAATACTTTTCAACAGACTAGAATTCGAACTTTTTTGGATTGAGCTTTTGAGATCTACATGCCAGTCCAAGATATCGTTTTTCGTGGTAACGATTCACGTGACAGCTTTGTGTACTCCCTGATACTACACACGTAAGATCGCACAGCTTGTATAACAAACCTGCAGCAGTCTTGTAGCAATACTGTTCCAACAACTTGTTCCCAACATGTTGACAACTTGCTACAACAGCAAGTTGTTCCAACAATTTGTTATCGTCCTGCAATTCAACAATTTGTCAACAAGTTGTGAGTGACAACCTTGTAGCGACTTGATAAAATAACAGCATTGTTACAACTTGTTGACAAGCTTGCTACAAGCCTGTTGCGAACACATCTTGTTGACAAGGACAACAAGCAGTGCGAACACAACGTGTTGACAGCTTGTTGGCAGACTTGTTACAAAATGTGAGATTTTTACGTGTGTACCCCCTAAGCGTCACGTGTTTTGTGCATGGTCTCTTCGGTTGCGTGACACTTAATGAGCTATAATGTATACTATGAGGGCCTACATTACTACCTCAAGACTTCCAGGCTGAATAAACAGTTGGCGGGCAAATTGTTCACCAGACGATACGCTACTGACACTAACAACAGCGGGCTCATCTTCCGTGTCCTTCTCTTTGATAGCCTGGAGACGATCTTTATAGGACTCCGCCTCTTTCTGAGCCTGCTGTAACTCCGTTTGATATTTACGGCTATCTCGACGAGCCTGCTGTAATCTCTCCTCCAGCTCTCGGCGCGCGCGCACCTCGCGTTCCTGCGTCTCGACGATCTTCTGTAGATCAACGAAAACCTTTTGCTGCTGCTGCTGCTGAGAAGTCGTGGGGGTCTGGGTACTATTTGCACCTACAAAGACAGAACACCGCGATCAAACAAACACCGCTGTCAAACGTCCGCGTGTTTACCGCATGCACTCAAAAGACTGGAACCAGTATTGTTTTTACGAAGCTCAAGCAAAATGTTTAGAGGAAATTACGACAGTTTAAACTAAGTATAGCTTCGTCTTGCCACATGGAAAAGCGGCGAAATTCCCTACCTTATAGCTTTAGCCGTTTCCTTATAGTAAACGCTTTTCTCGTGTTTATTCCTATTATTTTGGCAGTCATTTTTTCCCGCCATTTTCGTAGACTCGCACATGCGCTTTACGTTTGACCGCGGTGTTGATCAAACACGCGTGAGTCCTGCAAACTGAGTGCAAACATTGAATATGTACTCATGAACTGACCTTGTAAGTTCTGACTGAGCAAATTTTGTAGAGCAACTGTGGCGGGAAGCTGGGAACCAATCAGTGTCGGTTGAGTGTTTGCTTGAGTCGACGTAACAGATGTCTGAACAACGTCCGTCATTTGACCTTGGAGTTAATAAAAAATAATTAATAAAAATAACGAGATTTTGTTAGCATCTCCCTTGATTGAAAGGCCCTTCAACTGTTATTCTATATACATACATAAATACAAACATACTAGAAATATTTATGAAATCTGCGTGTTGGTGCAATGTACTCAGGTGAATAAGATGTTTGTGTGATGTTACTCTGAGTGCATATCCACACCGGGAAGGCTTGAAAAATATGCCTGGCCACGGCGGGATTCGAACCTACGACCTTTGGAACACTAGCCCAATGCTCTTCCAACTGAGCTACGCGGTCAGGACGGTTCGAGCAAGCGATATTTCGGAACTGAGTCTAGTTCCTTCGATATCAGTGTAATCTAATATTTATGAAATCTGCGTGTTGGTGCAATGTACTCAGGTGAATAAGATGTTTGTGTGATGTTACTCAGAGTAACATCACTATATATATATATATATTTTTCGCAAATGTTCCTGATCAGGTCTATTGTCTAATAAATGTATATGAGTTTAATAAAAATAACCACTTTACAAAAAAACACACGTGAAATGTCCGTGAAATGTCACTAACCTTGCAACAACTGCTGTAACAGTTGTTGATGTGTTGTTGCAGTTGGTTCAGACTGTGTTGTCTGGGATTCTTGTTGTTGCGATGTAGCAAGAGGCACAGTATGGACCTAGCAAGAAAGAAATTTTTATACTACAGGGTGTTCCAAAAAAAGTATACCTTTTCAAATCAAGCCTTTGTTGGCATTTGAATGCCTTATTACTTTGTTGAACCAACGGGTGTAGTTTATATAGCTGGTACAAAACTAACGCCACGAACTGGGTATGAAAAATTGCACCAAACTCTTTGCAAACTTCAGAAAGATTAGAGTTGGTGATACCAGTGGCCAAAAGCTAGGTAGGCTCGGGAAACCGGAAATCCAGGTATTGTTTTCTTTGGAAAAATTACGGGAACCACCGAGTATTTTAATAAAATATAAAACAACGGTAACTCCGAAAAGAAACATTTTAATAATTCTAGCTTTCGACTAAGATTCCGTCATCATCAGGAATGATGCTAGGTTACATCATCAGGAATGATGCTATATAGGTTATCATCAAGAATGATGCAAGGTTACCTTTCCTGTACATATCAAATTACTTAATCTTCACTATATATATCGATGTAATGTAACCTAGCATCATTCCTGATGATGACTGAATCTTAGTCGAAAGCTAGAATTATTAAAATATTTAATTTCCGAGGTAACGGGTTTTTTAAAATATTTTTTATGTTTTCTTTGGCCTAAGTCATGATTTGGTGCTATTTCCGCCCCACATTGAGTTTTAAACCACATATTTTAATTAGCACTGGTATTCAATGGCCGTAGACAAACTATTATACGCCCTTCTATAAACTGGCTCAATATATATGTAATGCCAACACTGCTCGTACTTACCAGAACTTGGGGCGGCGTGTTCTGTGTGTTAGTTGGAACCTGGGCCTGAGCCTCGTTTTGATTCGGAAGTACTTGAGCCAGCGCCATTTGTATCTGCGGTAACTGCCCTGGCACTTGCCCAGCAATATGTAGAGGTTGGGTTAAAATACTATGTACAACATTTTGTCTTGGAGTTTGCATGTCTAGAGAATTTTGACTCAGTTGTTGTAGGATGGCTGGCGTGAGTTGGACTTGAAATACACCCTCTTGTTGAAGCTAGAAATAAAGATAATCAACAGTTTATATGAGCCTTCGTTAACTCCGGTTTACCATTAAATAGACCTTATGCATGATGACGTCACAAGGATTGATGCCTGCAAAGAATGCTGGTCTTAGAAGTCACCGCTCGGGATAATTTCGATAGTGGCCATTTTGAATTGTTTAATTTTCCCAGGCGATGACTACTAAGACCAGCATTCCTCGCGAGCATCAAGCCTTGTGACGTCATTATGCATAAGGTCTATTAATACGTTGCTAGTGTCGTAACCACGTCGTGATTACGGATGTGAAATAATCTGGATATATCCTAGGGGCAAGTGAATATCATGACGGGCAAGTAATTGTTTTATCTTGCTTGCCCGATTGGGCATATCTTGCTTGCCCGATTGGGCGTTGCCACAAAAAGCTGGGCATCTTAAGTTTATGTTTTCATTGCCAGATAAATGATTTATAGTGCATGACTGCATGTACTTGATTCAAATTTTGTTTTTTTGTGGGCCAAAGCTAGATCTGAGGCAGTATAACATAGCCATATAGAGAGCAATGGGAGAACGGGTCGACATGGTGTCCCCTTAATTTATCCCCCGTTTGTACCGCAGTGGCCATTGTCTGATGGCAAGTGAATTTTATTCAGGGCGACTAATTTTCATGTCCAACTTGCCCTGAGGGCAAGTGGTCATAAAGGTAAAGTTACACCACTGTGTGTTCTCTGTGTTCTCTGTGTTGTATGCAAACCAGTCTTTACTGGTTACAGAGGTGAGTCGATACTGCATTAAGACCGATTTACACCACACAACTTTTGCCTAAAACTGTCGCATGCAACCTGCTCACAACTTGAGTTGTACTCATTTAAGCCTGGTTTCCATATGGTCGTAACGGTCTTAAAGATCGAGTAACGTTCTTTCTCATCAGCCGAAATACAACATTTTAGAACTGAAAATACGCGGAGTGATTATAACTAGTGAATGCTTATGATTTATATGTGATTTACAGGTATAAACTATTATAAACTGGCCGTTGAAAAAGATTGTGACTCCGGCTTCACTGGTATACACACAGGGAAAGTGGAAACGTTTGAGTAGCATCACGAATGCTTTCACAACATTGTTTCGTAGTACGTCCAGATTTGAAACTGTACGAATAGTGTACCTGCTGCGTATTAGGTTTCTCTGACGTTGTAGTTTCCACATTGGCCAATTGCTGTTGATTTAAATGACTGCTGTCAACGACGAATTGTGGTGTTCCATCAGGAGCAGAGAAAAATAAATGACCTGAAGACAAAACAAATTTCCTTCCTGTGAGCACAACTTGAAGATAAAAGCGGCATGCATTCTCCATAACCATACTCCCCACAAACACTGTGTACTGAGCACTGTGTACTGAGCACTGTGTATTGAGCACTGTGTGCCGAGCACTGAGCACTGTGTACTAAGCACTGCGTGCTGAGCATGGTTTCGAACTTAAGCTGGAGTAATACGGGCAACAAAATTGCTGCAACTTGCAACAAAATCTGATTTCAACGTATGTTAATTGAAAATGTTTATCCACATTAATTACAAATCACGAGGCAACACGTGTCAACATTTCTACTTAACATGCGTTGAAATCAGATTTTGTTGTAAGTTGCAGCAATTTTGTTGCCTGTATTACTCCACCTTTAGGGAATAAATCTAAAGGTTCATGCAGATTTTGACTTCCAGTCTTCCACTACCATTAACCAATCAGATGCGTTTAATCTAGCCGATTAACCAATCAGATGCGTTTAATCTAGCCGATTAACCAATCAAATATGTGAAAGCCGAAAGGTAGCGAGAGTGGAAGTCAAATCTGAACACCTTTACAGAGCTTGATCAAAGATCGGACGAAATCGCTTATGATCGGCAGAAAAGCAAGGTTTCCAACCTGAAAAAAAGCAGGGAAAGTCATGACTGCCGATCACCACGATCGGGAACTTTGGGAACGTTATTTCAAGTCCTGTCTTTATTATGTCTGTCAAGCATGAGTTCTTATTTTCTAGTTACAAATCTTCAACTCAAAATTTAAAAATTCCTACTCGCGGTGCTTGCCTATTATTTCCACCCCTGTCTTGGCGGCTACATCAGGGGGTGCCCCCCTTTTAACCATTACTAAACAAGTACAAGTACCTTGTCCCCCAGGTCCTCCTACAATAGGAAGAAGATAGGCGGTGGTCTGAGTGTTGGACTGAGTCGCTTCGCTTGATGACGACTGATCAACAACTGAAGATACAGCTAAAAATACAAAGTGGTATACAGTGATTAATGCGCACGTTTTTTCAAGCTCGTTCCCAGGGTGACATCAGGGAGTTTACGAATGTGAGACGGTGACGTCAGGACGACGGCTATCAATATAATGACATTAATCCTAAAGTACAAAAGAAATGAATAATTTAAAGTCTAACAGGGGTTCTAGACGTCGTCCAAGCTCTGTTCACAACGGCAAAATGTATATTTTCACGTCCTGTATGCATTGCACGCCGTGACAGGTAGTTTTTCTAGCAGAGTTGATCAACATTGCTCGGAGGGTTAAAGCTCTGTTTTACTTGTTCGAAACTATTTTAAATTCATACAAAAGTAAATACAAGACAAGATTTTCATACAATCATTTATTTCAAACAGTTTGTTTAGCCGTCGTCCTGACGTCACCGTCTTACATTTGACGAGAGGAGAGAGCCTGGGAACCAGGTTGATGTCTTTCACTTCGGGCTTTTACACTGATGTGAACTCAAGTGAAACATTCAGTGTGATTCCAAATTTTGGCGTTATTCTCACCTGAACCTGTTATGGACGAGACAGTGACGGTAGACTGGGCACTAGGCGCGGTAACATTCTGATGACCAGCGATAGGAACTTGCGTAATAATCAACTGATTACCAGTAGCACTTCCCGATTGGCTGTTGAACCCGATTGGCACAGCAAACGGGAGTTGATGCATGGGAATGTTCAAAGGTGAAGGCTGTGCAGGTTGTGAAAGCGCTGAAATAGTGGAGAGGGCAGCCAGAGGGGATTGAAGTGGGGGGACATTCCCCCACATGGGAGGGGTCATCGGGGTAATGTTACTCAATAGTTGACTCGGTGTGTTGGGTGGGATCGTCAACGGGGAAAGGGTTACGCTTTGTTTTCCAACAGCGGACATCGCCATTGCGATCGAGTTAGTTGGAGCAGATGGTATGCACGTCGTCTGATGTAATGTGGCCGTTGCCAGAGTCGCGAGAGCGTCCAACACACTCGAGTCCTGGGATGAGCTTGCTTCTGATTTCAAACCGGTTTCTTAAAAATAGATATTATTACATCGTAAGTCATTGCTACCAATGTCAGGGGCTTTCAAAACAAGTCAGCAGCCACTGGAGGCGGATGTTGTGAGGCTTACTGCCGGCTACTTTCTTTAAGTTGTGCTGTGCATCCATCTCGCTTTTTTCGCGGTTGTGGCTTAAAGTTCGCCGGAATTCGGTATACTGTACCTTCTAGCTGCGGTTTTGCAGCATTTCGCGACATAAATATATGCAGTATGCTGTAATTCCATGGGTGGTCCCTCATGCAAAATCTCACATCTTGCAGCAAATCTGCCAACAAGCTGTCAACAAGTTGTGTTCCAACTGCTTGTCCCAAGTTGTCAATAAGTTTGGAATAACCTGTTAACAAGTTTGGAATAAGCTGTTAACAACTTGTAACCACCTTGTTGATATTATCAGACTTGTTGCAAGGTTGTTCCAACAAGTCTGCTACGCCTACAGTCTTGATATAACAACGTTGTTACAACCTTGTGTGGTGAACTTGTGCATTTTTACGTTCATAGGGAGCTATAATGGCACACGTACGTGATACGAAAAGAACCTACTTTTCGTGTTTTTCTCTTCAGAACTAGCCAGAGCAGCAGCAGTAACCAACGGAGCCATTGTCTCTGAATGTGTTCTTAATACTTGTACATCTAGAAAAAGAAATTATTCATCATAGACCAATTCGAAAAACAGTTGTCATTTTTTTTTCTCCCGAAATTAATTTCAACCATCGAAAATACCATTGAAAATTTTCAACTTTGTGTCGGGCAATTTGTGTTGGGCAATCACATTTTACAAAATTTTCTTTCTGCGGAAAATTTTCCTGAGTGGAAAATTTTGCATATATAACAATTTAACTGCTGTCATTTAACATACTTACTCTGAACATTGCTGGAGTCCTGGACACCAGTCCAAGAGCCTGCTGTCATTGGAAACTTTCGAGTTTTCTGTCGTTTCTTAATCGAACCAAGTGTTAAACTGGTTTGACCTGAAATAAAATACGATAAAATATCAGATTCCAAAATCACAATTCAGTGCTTCTCAGTGAAAGCTAAAGAAACAGAATTGCTACAATCGCCAAGTACTTTCATGGCTTCAAACTGCTTGGAAATGGTTAGGACTTAGGTTAATACTAATTTAACTCATCTTCTATGGAAAAATGGATGGCAGTAACAAACCCCCAAAGAATGCTTGTATAACTTACTTTGTCGCTTGATTCCCTGACTTCGATCTGATGCCTAGAAGTCAACAAAATCAGTAATAGTAATGCGTCAGGCTAAATAAACTAGATTGTGGAGAAACATCTCAGAGAAGGAGGAGTTGTCAAGTGATGCATCTAAGCGTTTTGTGACTGAACTACCTGAGGAAGATCATTAATCGTTTTTGGGTAGCTGAGACCACAACAATGTTTGATGTTTGAGGTATTTTCCTGTATTGCGAGGTCGCGGTGCCTCTATTAGTGAGCTTAAGAAACGTGTCAACAGCCACAGACGTCACCTGAAAATTGGTATATCTGGTGGCATTTGCATCATAAAACTTTAAAAATCTTGCATTTTGTCATATGAGTTGAAGATTACCACAAACTGATACAAAAACATACACAGTCAAACTGGATGTTCTCTTGCAAGCAACATTGCAATATTGTACCACAATATTGCAATTTTGATAGGCAGATTGCAGGGTGCGATCATTCAAGATTTCTAGTCGTACCTGACTGGTACGCCAATGGTTGTTGCCGCGTACTTGCGCTAGAACAAACTCAGTACTCAATGCTCAGTGTGTATTTACTCTTTAAAAATAAGGTTCATAAAGTACAGGTTTCTGAAAAGTATGTTCAGACTACGAGATAGCAAACGGAGTTTTGCTATTTGAAAAGGGAGTTTTGCTATTTGAAAAGGGTGTTTTGCTATTTGAAAAGGGAGTTTTGCTATTTGAAAAGGGAGTTTTGATATTTCAAA